TAATGGTTTGAAAACCTAAGTGTCTAGATCCGCCTTTTCCTCTCAAGGATTCCATTTCGAGAATAGCCCTATGCAAAAACAAACCCTAACCTTTTATATCACATAAAAAGTACCACTATTTTTTCTTTTAGAAACTGTAATACACCTTTTCATGAAAATATAAGGTGGCATATATATAAAAATCGAAGTTTAGGAGTCAAATATGTAAATATATAAGATATGAGTGGTATGTTTGCAAATCTTCCAATAAAATAACCATAGCTTCTATGAAACAGCATAACAAAGCTTCAGCTAAGACTTAAATTCAAGCAATATAACAAAAAGTTCAGAAAAAAATTTAAGCGATAACCATAGCTTCTATATATTTCTCTTGCATTTTCCCTAAAATTGAACAACTAGCAACAAAAAGTTCTCAATACAAAAAGCCTTTGAATGGTTTGAAAACCTTAGAGTCTAGTTCCGTCTTTTCCTCTCAAGGATTCCATTTCAAGAATAATCCTAAATAACAACAAACTCTAATCTTTTATATCACACAAAAAATACCAATGTTTTTCTTTTCTTTTAAGAAGTGTAATACACCTTTCCATGCATAGACAAGGTGACATATATATATAAATTGAACTTTAGTTGATAGATAGTAAATACATAAGAATTTAGTGATATGTTCGTAAAACTTCTAATAAAATAATCATATCTTCTATGGGACAGCACAACGAAGATTCACCTAAGTCTTAAATTCAAGCAATATACAAAAATGTTCAGAAAAAATTTAAATATTCTCCAGATTTTTTCTTGCATTTTCTCTAAAGATTAAACACAACTAGCAACAAAAAGTTCAGAAAAAATTTAAAGGTTCTCCGTATTTTTCTTGGCTTTTCTCTAAGATTTAATAACTAGTAACAAAAAGTTCTCAATATAAAAGGCAATTGAAAGGTTTGAGAACCTAAGTGTTTAGATCTGCCTTTCGCTCCTAAGGATTTTCTAAAGTAACCCTAAACAGAAACAACTTATTAGCAAAGGCAGCAGAAAAAAAAAGCAATTAAAAAAAAAACAGGGAGACTTACAAAAAATGCCACTCAGTTCGTATGTGTCCCCTCAGAATACATATGTTTGGATTTTCAAGATAAAAGAATGTTCAGACAACGCTGAAACTCATATTTCATTCAGTCATGGGGGGCTTTACTAAAATGCAAAACTTATTAGAGAAGGCAGCAAAAAAAAAGAAAGGAGATTTACATACATTCCACTCAATTCATATGTTTTTACATATCAAACACATAAACTTCGACTTTTACATACATAAGCCACTACCTATCTACGCATGAAAAGCTAAGTTTCGTATTTTAAAAAGTTAAAATGGTGATATCTTTTATATGATATGAAAGATTTTTGTGCTTTAGCAGTAGAAAAGTCTAGTTTAAGTGTTAGATGGGTAACCACATAGAAATTTGATCGTGTAAATGCACCCAAAAAAAAATTTTATAAACCGATCCAAAATATAAGACAACACGCCAAATAGTATTAATGCAAATATCATAGTTAAAATAGAATATATAATAGAAATAGCACTTCAACTTACAGGAAAATTTGATTTTTATGCCAATATTCCAACAAAAGGTATAAACCAAATTGCAATCAAAAGAGGCATAGTTCTAAGGGTCAATAAATAAAAGGGCATTTCAAATTCTTATGTACTTTTCATCTTTATATTTATCACACTAAAAACTTTAACATCGCATCAAAAATACAACCACTATTAACTTTGATTAAGTAAAATATAGATTTATAATATCAATGTGTCATGTCATGAATTTTTTGACAAATTCTACGTTGGTTGTCGAATACCAAAGTGGCATACATGTAAAAATTAAACTTTAGATTTTAGATATGTAAATACATAGAAATTGAACTGTATAAATGTAATTTTGACAAAACAAATTAATCTCCTGTCAGTACAGCCATCAAATTAGAAAATAATATGTTTTAGCAACTACCAAGTTTGATAGCACATAGAATAACAACAATCAATTGGTTAAATAATCCATAACTCAACTTACTAGATCAACTTTATGCAAGCAACTTTGGCTTAGTGGTAGAGGGCTTGGTCTTTCAACTAAGAGGTCCTAGGTTAAAGGCTTTGCACATGCAGAGTGACTGCATTTGGACGTTTGTGTACAAAAACAACAACAAGCTTTTATATGATTAAGTGAGGTTGGCTACATGAATCTTTTTTCTCTCTAGTGTGTCCTATGGAGTGTCGTAGTTTCATCTAATTCAAATAAATTAAGATCATTTTTATACAACAAGCCCAAGCCTTTGTGACGAAAAACAAAAAAGAAAATACTTCAGGACCAGCTTTATGTATTAGCATCTCAATATAAAAAATTCATTATTGTTATAAATTTTTGAGTTGTTTAAGCTTAGTTTGTGAATATATTATTTACACCATATTACTTTGACTTAATGCTTTATCCTTACAAATGAAACCGCATTAACTTAATTGTCCATTTTATCACTTAATCTTTTACCCACATTTAACATGCTCAAATTCTTAACTCTGAAGATCACTACGATCAAACTCTTTCTCATACAAGCATTCCTACTTCATCTTATACAATATTGATGCACATAAATCTCAACAATCTCATTCTTTTTACCACTAAAATTGATTATAAATGATGTCATTATGTCCCAAAAATATAATACTCATGACATAGCATTGCTAATATTCACATCTCAATAATCCAAAGTATTCTATTATCATAATTTACTCCTCATAGGACTTCTTCATTTTAACAATTACATTTTGGAGCCATAATTTATATCCTCCTTCAATGTAATACACTAACTTCCTTGAACATTTTATACCGAGGAATTACTCAGTCTTCTAGCAACAATGACTCATTTTTCATTTAACACCGACAAAAAATTGTAAATCATATATTTTGTAATACTAACAATACATCCCTTATAATTTATTTATTTTATTTACCATCCTATAATCTTCATAATCCAAAGGTTTCATAGATTACAAATATGTCACCTACAAAAAATAAATATATCCTAAGGTGTTTCACTTTATAAGCATCCTTTAAAAATATCTCCATAGGTATATGAAGATCTTGATACAAGTGATTAAGAATTATTTGGATACTCCGCAACTAGTTCAAAGTGGTTAAATTTGTAACACATTAATCTTAAATAACTTTTGCACTTCTTTAACATATCATTTTCAGCCACAAACTTCGACTATTTTAATTAAAAAAGAATGCAGCAGCTACTATAATTTACAATATCCATTTTTCGCCATCAAAACTTTTAAAAAGTGCTGCTATAAGAAACTTTTTCAAATAATAATTTCTAATCCCTTCTTCCAACCATCTCATTTTTTTATGCCAATGTACTCGGCTAAAAATGAATTTATTATTTTATAACTCTAAAACGTGTATTAAAAAACAAGTCTAATCATAAATTTGTTGAAACTACTTTAAGTCTCCGTGATATTCTCTTATCATAATATACTCAAAAGGTGCTTCTCCATTTTAACCACCAATCTTAAATCAAAAATTTATATATCTTCCTTTTATACAAGTTATCACTCCATCTTCAAATAATAATAAATTATTCTAACATGCAGAAACTAGAGAAGGTCAACTGGTTGTTTCAATTTTTAACTCATCTGTTCAGTTTGCTAGTCTAATCAAGAAAGAAAATCATAATGCTAAAATTAAAAGAAACCATTTCCAACCAAAAAAAAGCAATTCTAACAAATTTAACAAATACAGAACCAACCACAAATTGAAAGGTTTTACTTACAAATTAATTCCCTAGCCTAAACCGTTTGGTAATCTAAAATGTTCCCAATTAAACAAAACATCTCCCTCAACAAATTAATTCCTTAGCATCCCATAACCATAGAATGAAAGATTCAACCAACTTTTTCATTCACAAATTGGGAATCGTACAACAATCCATAGCAAATACTTACAATTCAAATCATTACAGACGGGACAAAAAAAATAATGAAAATCAACTATATCCAGACAAAATCTAGCGTATTGTCAAATCCATAAAAACATCTCCTCAGTTCAGGTCTCCAAATTCCTCCGCACGGGTGGTGTATTACCTCCCTAAGAAGAACGAAAGTTTTATTTATATCATCATAGGAGATGCCATAAAATAGAAACCAAAAACAAATACTAACTTATATATGGTGACAAATCTAAAGATCTTTACAAAAAAACAGATAAAATAAGACGTGTTTCGGAAAAAAATACATAACTGGATTTTAAAAGAAAAGAGAGCTTGGTAACTTTTTTTATGATCACAGCCGCTTGAAGGATTCTATGTTCGAATGGAGAAAAGTCAGAATGTTTTATAGAGGTTGAGTGAACCAAGAGTTCAAATCCTAACCGATCAACAAATTAATTCCCTAGCCTAAACCGATTGTTAGTCCAAAATGTTCCCAATTAAACAACATTTAGCTCAAGAAATTAATTCCCTAGCATCCCAAATCCATAGAATGAAAGATTAAACATACTACCACATTCACAAATCGGTGATTGTACAACAATCCATACCAAATACTAAAAATTCAAATCACTAAAGATGAGACAAAACAAATAATGAAAATCGGCAATATTGAGACAAAATCTAACATATTGTCAAATTTGTAAAAGCATCTCCTCAGTTCAGGTCTCCAAATTCCTCCGCACAGTTGTTGTATTACCTTCCTCAGAAGAACGAAAGTTTTATTTCTATCATCATAGGGGATGCCATAAAATAAAAACCAAAACAAAGACTAATTTACTGATAGTTTGAAAAATCTAAAGATCTTCAACCAAAAACCGATAAAATCTGAAGAATAAAAATCAAAACAAAGACTAATTTACAGATAGTTTGAAAAATCTAAAGATCTTCAACCAAAAACAGATAAAATCAGAAGATGTGATTTGGAGAAAATGAATGATGGGGTTTTTAAAGAAATGAGAATTTGGTACCATTTTTATGCTCGCCGCTTGAAGGATTGCATGTTCGATTGGAGAAAAGAGATGCTGTTATATAGAGGTCAAAAAACAAGAGTTCAAACCCTAACCAGCCAAAGAAATCAAACTATTGTTACAAATGCTTATCATATCATATATAAATTTGTGTGTGTGTACTAGATTAAGAAATTATTATGCGTAATTATTAATTTTTATTAGATATAATATTATATTTGAGAAATTTACATATATACTACACAACTCATCTGCATTTACATATCTACCACAAAAATTTAATATTTACAAGTACAACAATTTTAACCTAAACATGCAAGAAAATTTTACATTCAAAAAGATAATGATGGTAATCTTTTTAATGCAATATAAGAAAATATTTAATATTTATATTACAATATAATGGCTTCGGCAGCACTAAAAGAAGCTTTCACAATGGTTTAAACCGCCCCTACAAATGTAGTCACGGTTAAAAATCTGCCACAAAGCCATTGTCATTACCTAGCGCTGCAAATGACAGCAGTTTTAGAAACGTTGTTGTGGCTCCAGGATATGACAGCGTTTTAACCACCACATTCCTAAATTGATTGAGGCGATTAAAACCTCCGCTATAGCCACTATAAAAAAAATTGCTTTCATTTTACATGATCAATTACATAACCTGTATTAGACAATCAAAATGTGCTCATATACAATCATCATAAAATATATAATCTACCGCATGATTTCATCACAATAATCACAAATACTGGATACATTTCAAATTATTCTCACGACTAAGATTGAACTAAAAATAACATGTCAACAATCAAATAGTTTACTAACACACATACTCAAGCTCAACAACATTGTCACAAGCTACTATAAAACATAAAACTAAAATTTTATCAATCACAACAACATTATCAAGTTAGCGACAATAGCACATAATCCATATCTAAATACAATTTACATTTTGTTCCAAGATCTAGTATTTGTATTGTCATGACAGAAAATTTTCCATGGACAGCAATCCCACATGTACAATATCATGCAAATTATTATATATTCTAACATAATTATAGATGTCATAAGTTTGAAATATTTCATGTGAAAGGTAACAGCTTACCTTCTAATTTTAAAACCAAAACAAATATGGGGGAATCAAAAGATTTTAAGAAGATATATCCTCGCACTCTATAAAACTATTTCAACAGTTGCATACGGTGACATCGGATTTTTTAGAGCTCTTTCTTTTTTGTTTTTGGCTAAGATTTACTATATGTACTGTCAGGACAGCCTACTTTTCACAGTTAATAATCTCACATGTACAATATCATGCAAATTATATAACCGAAGTTATAAATATATATATTCTAACACAATCACAACTGTACTAAGTTTGTATTATTTCATAAGAAAGGTAACAACCTACCTTCTAGTTTAAAACCAAAACAAGTATGGGGTGTTTATATACATGCAACCCAATTCCTATGTATTTACATTATGTATCGCTGAAATTTCACTTTTTGACATTTATATCACCCAAATCTTTTATATCACGTTTAAATACCACTATTTTTTTTTCTTTTAACAAGTGACATACATCTTTTCATGCATAGGTAAGGTGGTATCTATATGGAAATTGATGTTTAGGCATTGGATATGTAAACCCATAAGAATTGAGTGGTATGTCTGTAAATATTCCAATAAAAAAGCCATAGCTTCTATGAGACAGCACAACAAGGATTCACCAAAGTCTTAAATTCAAGCAATATACAAAAAAATCAGAAAGAAATTAAATATTCTCTATATTTTCTCTTGAATTTCCTCTAAAATTGAACAACTAGCAACAAAAAGTTTTCAGTACAAAAATCGAATGGTTTGAAAACCTAAGTGTCAAGAGCCGCCTTTCCTTTCAAGGATTCCATTTCGAGAATGGCCCTAAATAAAAAAAACCCCCTAATCTTTATGTCACATAAATAGAACCACATTTTTTTCTTTTAAAAAGTGTAATACACCTTTTCATGTATATATAAGGTGGCATTTTTTTTTTCAAAAATTGAAGTTTAGGTGTCAGATATGAAAATACATAAGATTGAGTCGTGCGTTTTCAAATCCTCCAATAAAATAACCATAGCTTCTATGAGAAAGCACAACAAAGATTCACCTAAGACTTAACCAAGCAATAAACAAAAAAATTCAAAAAGAAATTTAAACATTCTCTATATTTTATCTTGCATTTCCTCTAAAATTGAACAACTAGCAACAAAAAGTTCTCAATACAAAAAGCCTTCGAATGGTTTGAAAACCTAAGTGTCTACATCCGCCTTTTCCTCTCAAGGATTACATTTCAAGAATAACCCTAAACAACAACAAACTGTAATCTTTTAAATCACATAAATATACCACTATTTTCTTTTTTTAAGAAGTGTAATACACCTTTCCATGCATAAACAAGATGGCATAAATATAAAAATTGAAGTTTAGTTGTTAGATATGTAAATACATAAGAATTGAGTGATATGTTTGTAAAACTTACAATAAAATAACCACAGCTTCTATGGGACAGCACAACGAAGATTCACCGAAGTCTTAAATTCAAGCAATATACAAAAAAGTTCAGAAAAAATTTAAATATTCTCCGTATTTTCTCTCACATTTCCTCTAAGATTGAAAAACTAGCAACAGAAAGTTCGCAATACAAAAAAACACTGAATGGTTTGAGAACCTAATTGTTTAGAAATGCCTTTTCCTCTCAAGGATTCCATTTCTAATCTAACCCTAAACAGAAACAAATCCTAAAGTCTAAACAAAGGGCGCACATAAAATTGAAACCTACAGGAACGAAAACAACCCTTAATTATTTTGAGGTATGTATAATCCACCTTGATCATGTATTTTTATCTAACAGATTTCCAAACTTTAAATTTACAAGGACTTCAAAGGATTTTCTTCTATATGAATGTTTCTTGAACTTCGAATAGAATCTAAAGTCTGAATTTTGCGATTACTAAAACTATAGTTTACAAGAACTTCATCCAATTTTTTATATGCAAACAAATAGTATATAAATAGTGGTTCTGATGCTTGTTATTAAGGGAAAAAAAAAAGCACGAATAAAATAACTATTTACAATTTTTAATGAAGAGAGAGCAAATTGGATGAGTGATTACTACCTTATTACAAATTAAGTCATCTCTTTATGCCAGCATAGGATCTTTTTTTTCTTGGTATCACATTTACAGTTCTATTTTATAAAAAAAATAAAATAAAATACAAATCACTTTCTTAATGCAACTGATTCAATAAAAAAATTTGACACGTTAAAATTCAACTTGTAAATACTAAATCCAATTGCTCATTTATTTCATGTATTTCAAAACTATTAATTTATGAAACCTTCAACTTCCTTTGCTTGTAGCCATTATATGTGATGTTAATTGCCCTATGAGACACTGATGCTGGGTTGTTTTGCATCACCGAAGCTACATAACCACACAACCACAACAATGGCTTTCTCAAGGTAAGGAGATGCTGCATATATGCCCAAGAAGACATAGAAACCTATCGCTCCCTCCCCGAGTAATTTTTTTTTTTGAAAACATGGTATTATTGATGGAAAATATGGAGAAATCAAAGCTTTAAATAAAAATAAAGTTCAGACCATGATTTATATTCTATTGAGCTAACTTATTAGGATATGCCAGTAAATCAAACTTGACAATCTCATAATATACCAAAACAGAACAAATCGGAAACATAATGTCAAAAAGAAACCTTGAATTAATACAAAATATAATATTATCCTCAAAAATAATCAAGAACCCACCAAAAATACATCCAGAACATCCAAAAATTACAAAAGACTTCCGATCTATAAGGAACATAACAAGTTAAGAAAAAGGAAGCCTGGACAATTAAAACAATTCAATTCAAGTCAAATCAATCTTCAAGTAACCATAAAAAGTAGGATTACCAGATCTACAAATACTGTTGGTAAATCTAATAAGAAGAATCACTTAAGTCGTAACTCAAAAAAAAAAAAAAACAAAACCGAAGGAACATGATAGAAAAATCAGAAGAGGGGAGAAAAAATAGATGAACATAACTCATCAAGGAAAAAATATTGCATCAGGAGTATCGTGCGTCCGGACTCCAATGATATTGAGCCATGTGTAAAATGACAGACCCGCAAAAAAAATAAAAAATAAATAAAGGTGTATTTTGGCACGTGATTTAGCTTGAACACTAGCCTAGTGCTTCGAAAACTAAACCATGCGCGCCTCTTCAATATCCACTTCCTTCTATCGCCAGACAAGAAGCAGTCTAGATTTAGGGTTTCGCATAACACTTTTCATTTGCAATATTGGTAGCTAGGGTTTTGAAATCTCCAAAGCAATCGATCATGTGAAGAGAAACCGTCGTGGTTCTTCTCTCGGGGGTAAAAGGCTAAGTTGGGTATTTTGATAAAATTGGGGTGTCAACCACCCTACATGAGCCATTGACCAATAGAATCCTCTACTTTCGGTCCTTCATGTACTGGTTTTAGCTAAACCCTAGCCTAGTGCTAGTGTTTCCAGAAGAGCATCTACATGAGTTTCTCAAATGGTCAAGGGACCAAAGTTAAACAGGTGTTTAAGGTTGTGAGTGGAAGTGCAATGTGCAAGTGTGTGTGTGAGACCAATCAAGAACACACCACCAGAGGGTTAACCCTAAGGCCAAATAATCCTATGGGGACTCTCTTTGAGCTCTCTCATATTGACCCCACCTACTAAGTGCAAGAAATTAGAACTAATATGTGGAACTTCAAGTTGAGCAAAGAAGAGTTTAGAATTTTTAATGATGAGGGTTTCTTTCTAGTCCTCTAAGAATAGTGAACAAAAAAGTCCTATGGCTAAACACTAGACTACAAAATAGGAAAGACTAGACCTCAACCAAAAGTGAGGTCACAAAGAGAATGAGCCTAATTACAGTGATGTTTGGACTGAAATTTCGACAATAACTTTCGACCTCCATTGTCGTCTACCATCGTCAACTACTGCCTTCCGAGTGCCGTCAACCATTGATGGTGGCCCCGTATTCGCTGTTGTTTGTAGACTTTGTTGAGGGAACTAAGAACTCTATTGAGTAACGAAGTGTTATGTTAAGTTATGAAGAACTATGTTGAACAACGAAGTATCCTAAATATTGTGCAACAATATACCTCAAATATTGTCTAATAAAGAACCAATGATAACTCTCGGTGGCAATTACTCTCGAGCGTTGTATTCAGAATACTATAAATATTTATGTTTACTGTGTACAAACAAACAATATATGTGGTGTAATATTATAACCATTATCTAGTTGCAGAATACGGGTCTATCTTTGTATTTGTAAATATATATTAAATTATTTTAATTGATTTAGACCTCATGACTTTTTCCCTTATCGAGTATTCCATGTAAAAAGTCATTGTATCTTCTTATGTTACTTTTTTCATTATTTGTGTGTGTGCTAAATTTTCATTGGAATGTTAAAACGTTAAATTATTACTCTAACACCCTGAATTTTCTTACACACAACAGCTATATATCACAATCAAAATAAAAAAATATTAAATAATCATTCAAATAGTTACTTATTTATCTAACTTCATAATTTATTTCTAACCGCATATTTTAATATTAAACATAATAATTGATAATTAATTCTTGAAAAATCACAAAAAAAACCATTTACAAAAAATAAGACTATAAAAACATTATCATTGAAAATTATAACACTTCACTTATCAGCCTATTATTTGCTCTATAATTCATGTTTTGGGGTGAACAATTTTTATAGAATTAATGTTGGCCCCTTTTATTTCTTTTCTTTATCTTCGGCGTACTTTTAGAAAAAATATTTCGTCTGGATGCAGCACGTTTGGAGGGCCAACCACCTGCGGTCATTTCGTCATACACATCATCGAAAGGCGACGTGGCCACTGGTGATTCGCCTTTGGATGTGCGGACGTCCGGACAAAATATTTTTTGGTGCTTTTGTCGTCTAGCTCCATACCCCACTAGCGTCGATTAAATAATTGGAATCTCAATTATCATAATTTTATTAAAATATCATATTAAAATGCATAAGAATTCGAAGCTATGTATGAAAATTATCAATTTTTAATTCTAACAATAATGGGTGGGCGAAGCCCCACAAGTCTATAGAAATTCATAATACAATAATCTAATCTAATTAATTTGCAAGACTAATCCACTCAGTATGATGCAGATGTGAATTTTCAGTAACTTATATAGATTACGAAAGATTTTTTAGGCTATAAACAATTAAATTTTAAATAAATTGTTATTAAAATGATATTTTAAATAATAAATTAACATACCATAAAATAATAATTTAAATTTCTATTTTGAAAAATATTGAATATATTTTGCTTCTTATAACCCCACTTTGATTTATACATTCATTTGTTTGTATTTTTTACTTCAATTCTTATATATTTAATGCCACTCATATCAACATTTATTTATATTTTTCCTTCATATATTTTATTTATACTTCTACTTTGACCTCTATTATTCACACGTGTTTAAGCATATCAAATGTGTAGATGGACAATCGTATGGTGAGATACTATGATGTTATTGTGATAAAAATTTTAGTTGTATTTTGGTGTTATTATAGTGGTGGCATGATAGTAATATACCAACATAATGATAGTATTCTATTATTTCGATGGTGATATGGTTATCATAGTCAAAACCGTAAATTATAAAATTTTGAATGCAACTAGAACCACAGTTTTGATTTAGTTTTGATTTACCTGGATGCTCTCTGTCGACTCCTTCACCTTCTATTTTTCTTGGGTTATTTCATTCTTCTATATTAGCTTGCTTGAAAACTAGAAGAAAAATATATGAGTGAGTTCGCACCATCAAACCTCAATCCAAACGCAATAGTTGTTTCAGAAAAAATCTAAACATCACAATAACTTACATGGCGTTATTAGTGTGATAGTAGATATTATTATGCTTGTTTATTAGGGTTTATATTATGTTATTTTGGTGTTAATTTGTTGAATTGATGTTTCCATGCAGGTTATTCATGATAATTTGAATATGTAGAGGTGTTAAGTTGGTGTTATTATGGTGACATCTCAATTTTATTCCGCTTGAGATGATATTACGATGATAATTTGGTTCAAATTTCGAGTTCTTGTGGTGATGGTGTTATTGTAAATGCAACTTGGTATTTGTTATTGATTGGGTGTTCTTTCATTTTAAATTAAATAAAATGATCATTTTGGTTGTAACATGATGTTATTTTATTGTCGATTTGGTGTTACTATGGTGATATGTATGTTATACCCTAGACATATTTTAGTGTTATTATGGTGTTAATATGTCTGGATATATTTTGGTGTTATTTTAGATATATTTTGGTGTTGTTTTATTGTTGATTTGGTGTTATTACAGTGATATATGTTATATCCTGGACATATTTTGGTGTTGTTAGTGTTAATTTGTCTGAACACATTTTGGTATTACGAACATAATGTGTTATTTTTTTGTTAGTTCGATGTCATTATGGTGATATCAGCATTGTATCCTGGATATATTTTGATGTAATTAAGATTCTAATTTGTCTGAAAATATTTTGGTGTTATTAAATCATTGATTCGGTGTTATTATGATGATGTGTGGGTTGTATCCTGAACATATTTTGATGTTATTATGAAAATATTTTGGTGTTAATATATCGTTAATTTGGTGTTATTATGATATCTATGTTGTATCATGGACATACTTTGGTGTTATTATTAACATATTTTGGTGTTAATACAAACATATTTAGAGTTATTATGTTGTTGATTCGACGTTATTATGGTAATATCTATGTTGTCTCTTGGTATTATTAAGATGCTAATTTGGTTATACTGTGATGATTTTGCGGTATTGAAGTGGTGTCATTATGGTGTTATCTCAGTTAGTGTTTTTCAGTTTTTATTGTGGTATTGGTTTAAATTAGTATTTGTGTTATTTTATTGATGCATTCATGTTGAAGTGGTTTTATTATGAGCATATTAGGCATTAACAAAATATATTTTTTGTAGTCTTCTTTTGTAGGTTTTTGAGTCTAAGGATGTTCAACTGTAGGTCTCGACCTTCTGTGCTAAGATTTGTTCTTGCTTTGGTTGTTAACACCCTGAAAGATTTAAATGTACTTCAATTTTTCGATATGTCTCCATATTCTCAAGATAATGTTCCTAACACTACGCATCATGAATTGTGGGATGTTGAAAAATGGGTATTCAGGATTGACAAAAAGGAATTAAGTTTAAACTCCGATCAAATTATCTTACTGATAGACATGCCCAAGAGAGAAAAATCAGTCCACTGGGATAAATTCCCCTCATGTGATTTATCTTCAATATAGATAAAGAATGGCCTAGTTAAGTTTTGATCCAGTGAGCATTCTATGCTCTTTGATGAACTTTTTTTTTTGTTAACAAACTTAATTTTTCCTTCGAGCAACTTTAGTGTACTTTAGTGTGTCCAAAAAAACTTTACACTTTTGCTAAGAATGTAAATTTGTTTTCTTATTTTAATTGGTTTGTTTTCGTTTGTTTATTATTGATTAAGTAATTTATTTTTCTGCTCGGGATTAGTATGATGTTAGTACCATTTAAAATTTCTTTTTTTAGTCAAAGCGGGTTATGAAACAGTAATACCACCAAAAAACACTACTTAAATAACCTTACAATAACATGAAAAAATCATCACAAAATCAATAGAAAAGTAAAATAATATAATTGATTTGGAGTACAAAGAAAATTAAGCAAACATAAATTAATATCAATATTTCAAACACAACTAAATTAGATTTCATCCCCAATATTTCTCACGTGACGTGATGTTCACATATAATACAGGGCTATCGTCTTAACCTTAATCGGATAACTGCAAGAAAATCTTTCGGCCACAAACAAAATCCTAATTTTTTTATATGAAATGACACAGTGCGTCCGGTTTTGAATAGTGAGTCCGGATTTTGAACTGTGCATCATATTCTTTCCTAATTTTCGGGTTGTTTCATGCCAGATCACGCGTCAAAATACAAATTTATCTCTTTTTTGTAGTGGATCCGCCATTTTACACGTGGTGAAATATCATTGAAGTCTGGCTGTGCGTCTGGACTCCTTATACAATATTTTTTCCTCACCAAGAGGAAAACAGGAATCCATAACTCACCTACAGAAAATCAATACGGTAACCAGCACAGAGAGATAAGGAAGAATTATGACATGGAGAAGAAAAGTACTTGTAAATCAAAAAATCATAAAAAAAGGTTCGATCTACACATCAGATTCCATTACATAAGAAGTGATGAAAAGAAAGAGAGTTTCGAATTACCTCGTACTGCTCTTGCAGCTCGATGAGATGAAAGACAAAGAAAGCCTTGCGAACCTAATGGAAGGAGCAGAGAACCTTGTTCTCGCGCTCGAAGAAAGAGGGGGATGTCGCGGCGCCGTGCGGCGAGAGAAAGGAGTCCAGAAAAATGAAGATATTAGGGCACTTTTGATGGCTATTTATAACCAACGACGGAGATGAATGGAGTTGAGTTGCAATGGGTTCACATATTTATTTATTCTATTTTTTATTACAGATTTTTTTATTATTATAATATTAAATTAAATTGGGTCATTCTATTATATTTTTTTGAGGGATTTAAATACATGACACAGATAATATTAGAATTTACATATTTTGTATCTAAACTTCATAATTTATATAAGACTCTTCCCAAACCAAAAACAAAAAAAAAACTCTTTCATGCTAAAAAGCTTCAAAATGGTGGAGGAAGCATTTTGAGTTTTTTTTTAAACTTTAATATATTATATATATTTATGTTTAAGTTTAAATCATAACACCTCATGTGACAATGTGATTAGTGTCTTTTTTGTATATATTTGATCTAGTTTCGAATCTCACACTTTACATCTATTTTTCTCAATTTAAGTTTAACGAGTCAATTTCAAGCCGAACACGAACACAAATATTTAAATCGAGTCGAACAAAAACGTATTGTTCACGAGCCGATTTCAAACACGAGCCGATTTTAAACACGAGTTATTTCAAACGAGCCGAACACGAGCTGAGCCTGAGCTCAAGCTCAGCTCGTTTACAGCCCTACTTGTAACATACGTCATTACTCTGTAGGGTCCACAAATGGTGACGAGTAAGGCACGGACGATGGTTGTTGACGACGGTCTTCGAGTAGCGCCGACAACTACAATAGTGATTAGAGGGTTTCAGTCCAAAACAACTCTAGACAATTGATCATTCTTCTCTTGATTCGCCTCAAGGTCTAGCCCTTCTTCCTTCATTATGCAAGAAGCGGGACTTTATTTATATTATGGGTGTAACATCCTTTGTAAATAAGGAAGGAAGTCGAATAACTCAATTGAGCGTCTCCGAATGATTCTCTTGATCAGATGATATTTTGAAGACAATCAGACGTCTTAATGATGTCAGAGTTTAGTGATATTGGTCTCGTTACATTTGTCTCACAGAGACGCTCGATTTGATTATAAAGTTGTAAGATTTAAAATTCCTTTGACCCTCCAATTAACCACCCAAAGTTTTCAAAAGTGGTTAAATGACTTGATCTTAGATTGTTTTAAGTTAAATTGGATCAATTTTGGCGTTGTTGGGTGCGACTCGTCAAGCCGGTCAGTTTGACAATATGTTTGTTGAAATCAACGTTCTCGATTACTTTTTAGTTTTCTTTGAATATTTTTTTGCTAGGACAATGCTCAAAAAATTGTGTCAAATGATAAAATTTATTAATGACATATCATAGCCATTATATTTAATAAATTACATAACAAATTTAACTCTAGTTTTCATTAAAATAAAATTTATTTTCCTAAAAAAATATTAAACAAAAAGAATTAAAGCAGAATGCAAGTTTAATCTACCAATGCTACTAAACAATTACAAATTGGCATATTATTAATCTATTGGGCCGGAAGAGTTCAATTTCATTTCCTCTTGATAGTAGTTATAATTTATTTTATTGTGAACCGACTCTGAAATATTATATAAAGAGCCACATATTTATACAAATTCAATATATGACTCGGCGCATGACTTCGCAATGGATGACTGAATTGGAAGCACGTTCCCTGTGTTCAGACAACAAGTGTGCTATTGTTTTATTTATGTTTTCAAAAGGTGTTAGAATGATAATTTTTTAATTTCTCATTACAAATGGGTTCACTTGTTTTCTTGAATGAATGCAAACACGAGTTATGACAATCTGAGACAAATTCATATCGGAATCAAAATGGATGGTTAAAAATAATTATTCTATTTAATTGATTGTAATATAATACAATATAATATTTTTATATTAAAAAATTATCATTTAAATATTTCATTCCATATGCCAAAAACTCGAGCGAAGCTGTCTGCCCTAACTCGAGTTATTCTCTCCCGTTGTGCTCGTGTTTCCACGTTGGTACCTTCGATGATTGCTCTTCTTATCTCTCTGCCCTATCGATCTTGCGCTATATTTGATATGCGCAATCTCCTCTGTACTATGATTGATTTTGGGTTGGTTGGTGTGTTTTCGTGAGATTTATGCACATGTGGCTTTCATCTATGTTGGTTTGGAGCTCTCCACCTTAAAATTTGTCATGCATTTGTCGTTTGGTTTGGAGCTTTCCGTGGACATCCAAATGTGGTCTTCTATGATGTTTCATCTGCTTTGCATTAGTTTATATTTGCTCCAAGGCCTCATAGTTTTTTAAATCTTTATTCATCCAAACTTGTCATTTATGAACAACTCGTGTTTAGCTTAGCTCGTGCTTGATTCATGTTGAGCAAACAAGCCGAATACAAATAATTTTTTAAGCTCAATTTATAAACAAATCGAACACAAACAAGAATTTATACGTGTTGACTCGTTTTAGCTTGAAATAATTAAGCTATTATATTAGTTTATATATTTTTATATTACATTTTATATGCATTAAAGTTGCTAAATTTTATTATTTTTAAATTATATTCTGGTGGTATAATCATAAAAAAAAATATATAAGTCTAGGTGTTAGATATGTAAATAAATAGAATTTGAGATTTTGGGTGGTATGTTTTAAGTTCGGGGGCTTGCCTTACAGCGAGACAGGAAAGGGACCTCTTGCTTTCCGTGGCGTGGCTACAGAGAGACAAGATTGTATGCATTCCATGGGGCACGACACAATCTCACGTCTTAGTCCCAGGTCATGAAGACGAAAGAGAAGCTGTGATTTGAGTCGTTTCAAATCACACCTTAGTCCCACATCATCAACAAGAACAAAAATTAAGCATATGAAATTCAAGGTAATTATTTAAAAATAATAAATTTTCTTACTAATATTTTTTAATTAAATTTAAGCAGAATTTGAGCATAATTTGAATAAATCAGTTTGATTTGAGTCTTTTCAATTACGGTGCGAACACTAAAGAGCACTGCGATAAATTTTTTGCACAGCTGCTACCAAAGTTTGCATGCGTGCTCATAAAATTGACATCTAATTATTTTTATTTGCAAAAATGCAGACCTCTAACGATCTGGTCGAAGTGTGCAATAAATCAAAAATTTTTCTGTGCGGGCTCCTGACATAGCTCTACGTGCGGCGCAGGATATTTTTGAGTAATTTTTAAGTTATTTATTGGTTATTTTCAATAATCCTGAAATAACTCAGATTTCAATAATCCTATAACTCAGAAATAACCTGAAAATAACTCAGGAATACCCTCCGCCGCACGTAGATATACGTCAGATGTTCGGATAGAAAATGAGCCCGCAATAAATAGCATTTTTAAACATGCCACTATTGTTATGCATTTTCATATCTAATACCTGAAGTTTGTTTTTTACGGTTATACCATTCAAATATATTATTTTAAATTAATGATAATTTTTTAATCTAAAAATATTTAGGATTTGTTTTGGGCAGATGCAGCTATTTGAAGAAACATCAATAAAACTGTTGAAGAAGAAACTGTTGTTCAAAAAGCTACGGTCGTCATTAAAAATATTTTTTTAAAAAAAATTAAACCACAACTTTTTAGCAGCTACTGCAAGTGGTTGGGTCAGGTGGGAAAACACAATTTTCAGCTGTAATTTTTTGAGAATGCAAATAAAACACAGTTTTACAAAACAAAAAAAATTACGGTGCAACATCAGAGTGCCACAGGACCATTGCCCCAAACACACTCTTAATACTCAATTATTAAATTATATTATATAATATTACATACCCAATTGATACCCATTATCCAAACTATTAAACATAATGATTATTATTAACTATCTAATTTGATTATAATATGAATGAGTCCCCGATTATCATACCTTGCTGTTGGCATCTATTTGTAATAAAGTTAAGAAAATTATCATTCTAACACTTTTTAAAAACATAAGTAAAGAAATGGCGCTCTAGTTGTCTAAATATAATGAATGTGCTTCCAATTGAGTCATATATGACACCATATATTGAATTTCTATAAAATAGTGGTTCTTTATAGAATAAATCAAACTCAGTTCACTGCATCAAAATACATTATAAATATGGACAGGAGGATATGAAATTGAATGCTTCTGACTCGATGGTTTAAGGGTGTGTTTGGAGGAGCTTATTCACAGCAGTGGCGTTTAGGATGTGAAATTGAACGCTTCTGACTTGATAGTTTAAGGGTGTGTTTGGAGGAGCTTATTCACAGCGGTGGCGTTTTGAAAATACCACAAACTGTTGGAAAAACATGTTTAACTGGCATTTTTAAATAAGTCATTAGCAATTTTACATTGGACGCGGATCGCCGGTAGGACCCCGCGATCCGCGTTTTATTCGAGCGAAAGACAACTCTCGCCCTTCGCACGAATCTCTCGACACCGCTCGCCTTCTCCTCTGCCTCCTCCTCTCGCACGGATCTCTAGCTATCCCTTCTCTCCCGCAACGAAAACTGGAGTGGCAACGAAGGGGATCTCTCCACATCGCTCGCCTTCTCCTCTGCCTCTTCCTCTCGCTCGGATCTCTTGTGATCCCTTCTCTCCCGCGACGAAAACCGGAGTGACAATGAAGGGATCGCTCGTTACAGAGACCATTGAAACTCCCATCTTTCTCATCCTTCCACACCACTCCGACCAAGGTAAGTATCCTGCCCTACCTCCTCTTCATTCCATTTCATTCCTATTCATTCCTCTCTGTTCGTCCCGAAACATCCTAATCAGGTCCTCGGAGCTCCTCTGCAATCTCTAGGGCAAAGTGAAACATTCTGCTTTTCTCTCCATCGAGCTAAAGCAAAGCTCATAGCTTGTAGTGCTCGAAAGGATTCATATCCCGCTAGATAAACTTTTAACCCTTTTTCTGACCTCCAATGTTTCTAGGGAATAGATTAGGAAATACCGCAATGATTTTTTTTGCTTTGTTTCTAGTTCATAGCTTTCCATCCAATCCATCCAATAATCTGTTTCCATCCAATAATCTGAAACATTGGAATAGATTTTGCAATGCCACAATAGTTGTAGGTTC